AAAGAGTAATTAATATACTCTGGTAAAAGCCTTTCAGTTCATCAAGTCATCATTTTCATTTTGTTGGAAGATAGCTTTTCCAGCAAAACATTCTCTAACAACTGTAATATGTATGTGTGAACCAATAAGTTAAGAATCATCATCTCCTTTGGTTTTATCCTAACAATACACTTTTACAACAGCTGAGGATCTGTTCTAATGTTCCTCTGCCTCCTCTTGTCAGTGGATGTTTTTCCATTTATCATGATGTAGATAAAGCTAGGTCAAACATCTGAGCTTTAAATTTTGTTTGTGGTCATTTTGATCTCTGTCACAGTAAACTTTTTAGTCACAAGCCAGCTGCTGAGAAAACTGTCTGCCACACTCATGGGTCTTACTTTGATATTTGACATTTCCAGCTCCCCAGAGGAATGCAGTTGTCATGGGAGGTGGACATGGGGAGATTGAGGCCATCCTTTAGGTTGCCAAGGCCAGTCACATGCTGGCCTTTCAAGATCAGGGCTTAAACACTGAGCTTCAAATCACAGTCAGCTGGGAGTCAGCACTGAGGGCAAAGATGAGAATGATGCACTTTTGATGGTCTGTGCTGCCAAGCGGTTATGGCTTGTTGCATTCTGGACAACATGCAGGTTTGGAAAGAAAAGGTGAAAAGAGGATAAAGAAGGATCCTATTTTTTTTTTTTTTCTGTTAAAACAGTTGTACTGAGAGGGTGTCCTGAGAGCTGGAAGCTCCCTAGGGATGGGAACATGGAACTATGGGGGATGTCCAGACACTGTGCACCTGCCTAGGGATGGGGACCAGCCAAGGCCATGATGGGACATGGGCCTGTGGGTGGGCCCAGTTTAGCAGAACTGTGGCTGGACAGGACAGTGGTATGAGGAGCTGGAGACTGGTATCCTATGGTGTAGCTGGGGCAGGGACTGATGGCCCTGAGGGAAATGAAACTGGGTCCTGGGCCTTGACAGGGTGAGGGGAAGGCCCCACGGTGGGCTGGGCAGGGACAGTAGCATGTTAGTGGCTGCAGGGCCATGAAACTACAGTTCAGTAGTCATGGGTTACTGCAGATACCTATCTTATTAATTATAAAGATGGTATCCCATCTTCATCATCTGACTTTTGGAGGAGAAACTGAAGCTTTCAGTCAACTGAAACACTTTTTCTTTTACTCAAAAACTGACTTGTGTGGAATGACTTGGACAAATTTCAGGGACAATGTAAAGAAGGCATTCATTAGTACCCTCTAGATGTCCTCAACAGTGATATCCAAATACTCTGAGAAAAGTCCAAATTTAGTCAAAAGCCTTCATGCACCAACACATACATTATCCTTACAATTTTAATTGGAGCACAATTTAATACAATGCATGAGACAGCTAGAGACCTCTTCATCTGACCCTGTGGCTCACCTGGGGTACAAAGATCACACTCTGAATGTCACTGCTTCAAAAGAGAAGGTGGAAGTCTAAAGAAATAAGGATTCCCAGGGTGTGTGACAGACATCAATAAAGATATTCAGTACTGCAGAACTCAGTTTTTATTTGTTTATATTTCTAATGAAATATAAAGATAATATTTAATATCTCAAAAAACATTTCATACAATCTCTCTGTTAATGTATTGCAAAATGAAAGGCAGATTTCTGAGAAACGACTAAACTGGTTTCTGATTTTAATCAATGGTAACCATATACAAACTTGTGTCACATGAAAGTGAATCTTTTTTTTTTTTTTTTTTTTACTTATTTAAAGCAAAGGTAATTGAGCTTCATGCAGAGAACTTGTGAGGCTGGCAAGATCCTCTTTACAATGGTACTACACAAGAGACGTGCTTGTACACGTTGGATGCAGAATAGCTATTACTTCTGTGGAAACAAATATGTACTGTTTTCCTGTACAAGCAGAAGCTCTGGAAACTCATTTAAAGTTGGTTTAAAAGTGTAATATTGATCTATTTTTAACTTTCAAAATTAAGTTGACTTTAATGGCAGTGATTTTAGTGCCACATGGAGAAAAAATGACTTTGAACAAGGCATGAATACCACTTTATTGTCAATAATTCACAGTTTACAACTGAAATTTACTTCTATATCTAATACTGAGAATAAACATAGAATCTTTACAAAAGAAAAAAGAACAAATTTGAGGAGTGGATACTGAACATTATTAATATGATACAAAGAAACTTAGACCTCTGGGAACTATTTTTCAACCCTAAAAATACCAAAAAGGTGGTATGATATGAGAGTTGTAAGAACAAAATAAATCTAAGAGCTTGGAGCAGACTTTCTAGTGTACAAGAATATAAATTGCTGCTGCTGCTTGAGTTGACATTTATTTACCATCATGCAGCATGAGAAAGAGACTCAAGATTAGAACAGAGAAAATCAAATTATATTCTGTTCCTTTGGCTACTGGGAGGACTGTGTTTTAGAGATAGCTTTAAAGGTACATAACCACTGGTAAAGGCCAGCACCCCACCAAATGGAGTTTATTCTTAAATGAACTGTTATAGAATCACTATGCCAGAAGTAAAGAAGTCAAATAATTTTGTTTTCTACTAAACAACCAGTAAATAATAAATATAAACAATATGTAGATAGTGATGTCATTTTTGGGCTGATAAGAAACTTCATATTAAAATCCAAAGTCCAGGTTAAGATGTAGTGAAGAAATGAAGCAGTTCCATATTTGAAATAACACTGTTTTAAATTAGGTAAGATTTTCCACAAATAGCACTTTAATGAAGCAAGGATAATTAGCGGTGTTTTGAGTAGACTGAATTTCCTGGTTATAAAGATTCATTGCAATTATTTATAATGTTAATAACTTTAAATGTGTTTTATTAAGGGTACTTTAGGTAGATTCTACGTAATATCAAAGTAAATATTCTGACCAAGTATCTTGGGTCTCTGTGAAAATCAGGGGGATGAGAGTGTAACATAAAATGAATAAGGTTATTAAAAGCAGGGCTGCTGTGTAGCTTTGATTTCATACTAAGCAGAAACATTTATACCCAGGTTTCTGTCAGACCCATGAGAAATAACAGTTTTCGTTGGCATTTGACTTACAGTCATTTACCCAAAATATACTGTTTACTTTTATCCTGATGGAAAATATATTTTCCTTCTTACAAGCTTTGCTGAATTTATTTATTTATTTATTTATTTTTCTGTCAAGTCTCTACAAGTCCCTATAATCTAAATTGCCCTGAAAGAAGACAGTGTATGAGGGGAATATGTTAAATTTATCAAATAAAGCGTGGAGGTGGAAAATATTAATAGAAAATATTAATAAAGTATAAGAGAACTGACATGTCAGAGAATTAGCATGAAAAATTAATAACATAAAAATGATATGTAGTATGAAGTAACTAGTATTTTGAACAGGGATCAGTGCTAGATAATCTTATTTTCTAGTAATCATATCAGGAAGATTTAGAAAAAAAAGCATAACAAATTGGAAACTGCAGAAATATATTTTATCCTTTATGCTACCACATATTGAAAATGAGTATTATCTAACTGTGGTAAACCTGAATTGGAAGACTGTTTTGTCCCTTAGAAATGTTGTGTCTTAATTTTGTAGCTGATTTTCCTTAGCAACTGTAACTCTTTCTTCTTACTTGCACAATAGGAAGTACCTTTCTGTGCCAGCATGCAGAGACAGACACTGCAGCTGAATCACGATCTTCTGCTTGCATTCACAGAGAGACTCACTGACATCACAAGAGCTTTCTACAAGTCTGTATCTTTTTCTATTGGAAACAGTTTCCTGAACCATATTTTATGTAAAGAGAACAACTTTACAGAGATACACTCTGTAGTGCGTCTTAGAAAACTGTAAAGTCCTGAGAGAGAGCACAGTCAATTTTATTGTCTGTATGTCAGAAAATATCTTGTTTTTGTGTTTTACAACTCTGCCACATGCGATGCTTATTTAGTAGTAGTTTACAAAACATGACAAAAGATAAGCATCCTGGACTGACCTTGCATTTTTTCAGTTGCTGGGGAGAGTTAGAGTTTCTGGGATGCAGTAGCTTCTTTAGTAGCTCTGGCAAAGCAATTACCTTTGAGCAGCAGTTGTTCTGATATGGGGCCATATCACTAGATCACTAGATCGCTAAACATAGGCAGTAGTTTAGGCACAGCAATAAGAATTACTATGTCTGGATAAGACTAAATACCCCTTCAGTGCAGAACCATATCTTTAACAGTAGCCATCTCTAGAAAAAAGGATATGTATAGAATGATGCTTTCCTAGACATATGTCCTCAGTTTGGAAAAGCTGTAATGTAGATATTTCCTGAGGTGGAAATTGTTGCATCTTCTGTATAACATTCCTCAGCACACTTTTCTTCCAATATCTTTATAGCTGTCTTTATAAGTACTTGTATTTTTGACATCCATGGCATCTCATCACTATGAGTTCCATGGGTACACTGTGCACTGTGTAGTGAAGTATGCTTTCTTTGTTCATTTTGAAGCTTTAGCTTTCTTAACAGGAAGTTATGAAGCACTACCACAGGTCAATATAGTAGAGAGATGGCTGAAAATACTGCCATGTAGCAAGGTTTTAGCAGAGGCTGACCTCCAGTGGGCTTTCCTGAGGACTGATAATATGTGTAAGAGTAGGAGGACTAATCCAACATCGTCTATGTTTGTATAAACTTTGCCCATTTATGGAAAAGTGTCCTGGTTTCAGTTAGAACAGAATTAATTTTCTTCCTAGTAGCTGGTGGAATGCTGTGTTTTGGCTTAGGATGAGAAGAGTGCTGATAACACCCCGATGCTTTAATTGTTGCAGAGCAGTGCTTATACTAAGCCAAGGACATCTCAGCCTTTTGCTCTGTCCTGCCAACGGGCAGGCTGGGGGTGCAGTAAGAGCTGGGAGGGGACAGACTCAGGACAGGTGACCCAAACTAGCCAAAGGGGTATTCCATACCATCTGACGTCATGCTAAACAATATATAGGGGTGGCTAGCCGGGGGGAGGGGGCCGGACTGCTCGGGGTTAGGCTGGGCATCGGTCAGCGGGTGGTGAGCAATTGCATTGTGCATCACTTGTTTGTACATATTATTATTACTTTCCTATTATCACCATTGTATTATTATTATTATTATTATTGTTATTATTTTTTTTGTTATTATTATTTTCCTGTCTTATTAAACTGTCTTTATCTCAACTCATGGGCTTCACTTTCCATTTCTCTCCCCCGTCCCAGAGAGGGAGGGGGGAGGGTGAGCGAACGGCTGCGTGGTGTTTAGCTGTCGGCCGGGTTAAACCACGACAAAAAGAAATGAAGGTGAGATCACAGAAGCTGAGAGAAGGTAGCAAGAAAGCACAAGAGGTGTGAATTTGTATGAAGAGTTTGTCCTCGTTTCACACCCTGCTGATACAATTAAAGCAGAGCACCTGCGTTATGAAGTTGAGTAGCTCTATGCTACTTAGGTCAGTATCTACTCCTATAAGAGCCTTTCTGTGTTCGAGGAAATAGACTTCTCTGTGTTACTAGTAAATAATGATTTTTATCAAAAGGATAGTCAAGGTTGCTATAGAAGCAACCTTAAGAGTTCAAAATTTCAAGTAATCTTTTGAGTCAAAAGAAGATGTATTTTAGAACATCCGAACTTTCTTAGAGGTTACTTTCCCCTTGTTTTTGAGATAATAATGTATTCATTTGTTTTAAAAAGTTGAAAAAAAAAAACACACCAACTTTAACAATACTGATATTTGGACTTATGCTATTGATCGCACCAATAGAAAAGCACTACCTACTAGATCTAACTGTACTCCATAAGGAATTTAGAGACAAAATTGCATCCCATGGGTGTTTCACATACATAATGAATTGCAAAATTATTGTCCTGCAAACAAAGTGCATGAAGTGCTTTGTGATTATTCTGTATTCCTTCAGCTCCAGTATTTACAAATTCAGATCTCTCAAACATTTTTGCCCTCTTAAACTTGATAGTCTTCAACACTGTTAAGCACCCAGTACTCTAGGAAATTAGAAATGTAAGCAGCTAAAACATGAAGTCTGAAAATCAGAAATATATGTACAAGCTTATTTACACCTGCTATTGGAATGAGGTGAAAGGGTAAATACCAGAAGTTGGTTCCAGGGTCAAAATTGTTCTGCCCTTTTTGTCTGTCATCCAGTGACTGATGGACTTCTAACATTGGCCAGAGCTAACATATGCTGGAGCTTTGGATAAAGTGAGGAGCAGTAAAGTCACATCTAGGATTCCACTCCGTAGTGTTTTGTTTCTCTTACAGATTTCTTACACAGTAGTTGTTTACCTGAGCTGTGGGCCTGAATTAATAGTTTGTCTCTATTGATATTCTGAGCACCAGCTTTTTGAAAGCTATACAGTGAACTCCATTAAACTCAAGAGGCTGTTCCTTCAGGAGACTGTCAATATTGCATTTCTTGCACTTTAGGGCTAGGCTTTTAAATTTAAATGTTTTAGCTTTCTAATGGTATCAGTGACAAAGCAAATCCTGCCACGGGAGTACTAATTTATCCATTCCTTGGTGTGTGCTCACCCAGGTTCCTCACGTACATCAGCTCACTGAGATTACTTGGGTTTGTATTCTCCAGGTGTGGGAGTAGTGTAAAGGAACATCTTATCTGATAGCATTAACCGTTTTTTATATTTTTATTACAATTTTGATGATTTTTGATGTGTAGAAATATTTATAATGATCAACTCTGTACATTTAAGTTACCAACTTCATTTCTTTTAGGATGTTTCATTAATTTCCATATGCACTTCAGGAAAAATCTGCCTAAGGAGGAGTATAGAAGGGTAAGTTTATGAATTTTAGTGAGGTTCTTACATAGTTAAGTTCTGGTTACCTCTCTAAAAGGAGAGGGAAAAGGGGAAGAGCAACTTAAAGGAAGTCTGCAAACAGAAACACTTATCTTGTCTAAGTCTTTACCTTTCTTTACCATATTTAATCTTATTTTATTCCCTAAAATTATTCCTTAAAAAACTATCTTGATTCATCTTCTTTTTTTACTTCCTTCCTTCTTTCCTTCCTTTTTTTTTTTTTTTCTTCTCCCAGATCATTTACAGTAATGTTACCATGGAATCAAATACTACTTTAAGTGTAAATAACATTTATGAATTTAAAACCAATGGGTATTCACATTTATAGATTGAATTTTTGACACATGCTATGCACATCTAATACACTGTCTGTTTGCATCTGAATTATCCACATACAGAGAGACTAGAAAAAAAGTCTCTTTACAATTATGAAGTAAATCTGAGATTTTAATTGTCTTTTCTATTTTTTTCCAAATAAAATTATGTGGAAAAATAGTGATGTTGTTAACCTAAAAAAAATAAAAACACAAAAAAGATATATTTGCTGAAAAACTAATCCCCTTGTTTGAACATGTTAATGAGATTGTCTATACTAATTATCCACTGCTAGTACTAATTAACAATCATAAAATACTTTTCATCTTCAAAGCATACTTTATCAAAAGTGTTTGGAAGTGTCTGGAAGCTTTTGCTATTCAAATGCAGATTACTATTAAGACACCTTTTAATAATGGGGACAAGTAGCTGGTGGTAGAAATTACTTTGGGGTATGATGGAATAATTTCTCCATCACTTGAAATTTTTAAATCAACATGGGATGACATTTAAGGAGATACATTATGTCTTACACCAAAATGATGAGCTTGATGCAGAAATTATCACATGATTTGCCTGCTGTAGAGAAGGTTAAAATATATTATAGCAATATTTCCTTCTTAGTTTAAAAATATAATTTAAAAATAATTACTAATTGTTTATTCTTAATTTCTAATTACTGTATTTGTGACAAAGTGTCTAGGATTTTGCTGTGTTGCTGAGAAGAAAGTCCAACCCAGATTAGAAGTAAATAAAATTTAAGTTTGAGCACTGTTTTCAGAGTTTAAATTTCTACCATATCACTATTAAGTTCAGTGTTTGAAAATAATTATTTATATTGATATATATATATTTTGCTCATTATGACACTCTAATGCTTAATGTGCTTCTATATTAATTTTGAGTTATTACGTATATTTTAAAATAATTTTAAAAGTCTCTATCACCACAGCATATATATATATACAAGTCATTGTTGATTCTGATGAGTATGATAGCTTCGTTTTTAAGGGCTTGATCAAACTGATTCAAAAAATGGCCCAAATCCATGGGGATTCCCAAAAATGGGAAACAATGATACAAGGCTCCTAAGACCATAACATGGGATTCCAAATACACACAGAAGCCAATCAGCTCACTGAAATAAAATAAAATAAAATAAAATAAAATAAAATAAAATAAAATAAAATAAAATAAAATAAAATAAAATAAAATAAAATATTTTCAGAGAGAACACTGTTGACACAATTCCCATGTGTATCATGATTTATGCTAAAAATGCCTTGTATTCTCATTTTTCATAGAAGACTATAAAAACACAGCAACAGAGCGCTAGCGATTATTCATTCCTGAGACCTACAAAATATTATTTTTAGCTATATAGATTTCTTAGCTATAAAAAGGAAAAAAAAATCTGTATTTTACCTTGTTGGTGGTTTCCCACAAAAATTTATAGGTCAGCTACCCGCTAAAACTAATTACACCTGACATTACTGCTATAGTATTCAAAGTTATATAAATTATATTTCTAAATGAAAGCCAATGAGTCCCACAGGTATGAAAACAAACATTAAAATGTTTTCAGTGCCTATTGCAAAGAATAGGATGATAGGATAACATCCCTGCTCATATTACAGTTATGTTTACATAGTTTCCAATATAAGCCTCCTTTTAAAGGTTTATCTTCTGACTGTTAAATTCAAGATAAAAGAGGCAATGAAAGGTTTCAAACAAACAAATATATATATATTACTTTAATCCTGTGTGGGAAGAAGAAGTAAAGAAGAAACAAAATTATATGGGACAAACCTGAGTTATAGAAAAAGCACTTTACTTATTATGAAGCTGCTTTGAGTTGTTATTTTCTCCCAAATGGCAAGCAGAACTTTCTAAAATGGCTTGAAAATTTATTTTTGCTCTAATATACTTTTAAGTGCTGTTACCCTCTTTTCCTTTATCCAATTTTAAAAAGCCTAAATAAATGACTTAGAAATAAAAGGTAACGTTTTACTCCAAATATAGATATATTTTTAACAGTAGGTTATTTTGTTCCAATTAAATTTTTCCATTTGAGTTCACTTATATACCACAAAAGTGTCACTTGTATTCTTACTGCCATTTGCTAATGGACATTAGCAATGGACAGTCTCTGCTGGCTTACAGACTGTCATGATGATTTTAATTGAAGTTCCTGCATAGTACAGACTAGAGAATTTACTTACGTGAAGTTTCTTTGAAGTACAACTGATGGAAAATTCACCACAACACGTTGGATTATTGCCCTGCTTAATTACATTCAGGGATAAAAATCTACCTTTTATTATTACCCTGAAATTTGTTTGGCCTTTCCATCTTGTATTTCATGAATTGTCAATGTTAGATCTGGATCTGGGCTCTGTTTTTCAGACATCTCTAATTCGCATCTTTCTGTTTATTCACCTATATATATATATATATTGTTTTTCTTCATGCCATATTCTTTATTTCAACTGTTTAACTGAATTTTGAAGCAACTTAATCAATGACTGGAAAGATATACCATTCTGAAATCAAGGCTCCCATTCTTTCTTTCTCAACTTTAATTTTATTCATACTGTAAAATGCATTGTTTGCAAATGACAAGCTTATCAAGCATTTCAAGCTTCTCTATCTTAATAAATTGTTCCCTTCACTAGTCATTGCTTATTTTAAGCATTTTATTCACTTTCAAATAAATCTATAATTATCTTGCAATTTCTTAAATCAGTTATAAGTACACAGACCACTGTATGATTAGTACCATTTCATCACTGCTTATGCTACAGTATTCTTTACAGACACCTTTTGTACACCTACAAGTAATTTTTAAACTTATTTAAGTGTGCCAACTTTCTAAACAACCTATCAAAAGGTTTTATATCTGTAATATTGCATATGTTTAAGTAATTTGCGTTAAAAAAACAACTTACTTTGGATCCAGATTTTGTTAAAATATATTGCAGTTTCATTAAAAATGATGTTTATTTGTCAGAGTATTTTTTGTAAATGTTGATCACTTAATTTCCTATTAAATTAAGTGACTATTACTTTTTTTTTTTTTTTGAATGTATCTCTGTCAAGTTTTTTGCAAATTCCTGTGCTACAAGACTTAGTGTTGTTAAATGTTAATGTAGAAGGGATTGCTCAGATTGGCTAAACATCAGCAGGTAGATGTTTAGCTATAACCAGCACACCTGGTTAGCTTTATTTATTTTTCCTGTATAAATGGTGTTAGAAAAGGGTGAAACAATTGTAGGTCAAGATGGAGAGCATTAACTTGATACAGTTTTGTCATCATCAATGAAACCAATGGATGGTATGAAAATCCAGTTCTATTCAAATAGCCATATTGGCTATCAATCAACTCAGGGATATTTGGGGAACATGCGGCAAAAACATTTTCCTTTTTATTCAACCCATGCAAAACCCAGATGTAGTTGAAAAGCTTGGACTCAGGATAACGAGGGAACTTCTAATCCCTTAAAGCAAACACACTTTGTACCATACTTGATTTTGCCAATGCCAGGTGTAAATGCCAAAGCCCAGTGTAAATTGAAGACTTGACTGTGGACATCCACAATATCTGTGTAACAGGCAGGACTGGCAACCTTTAAATGGAAGAAAGGAAGTATTCCCAAACCATTGCATTTATCTGTGACTGATGATGTCATAAAATTAGATGGGATACATGGTAGGCTGCACTTGTTTACACTGAAGGCAATCTGTGTATGAAAGCTGATTAAAGCTGAATCCTTGAGGTATCCATTCCTTGCTCCCCTTTCAGATCTCGTTTGTCCTAGCTGTGGGTAGACTTGGAAAACCTGAGCCTGACACTTCACTTTATGACAGAGTAGTAAGACCGTCAGTGTGTGCTAAAGGAATAGATGCAATAAAGACATGGCCACAGTCTGCTAGGAAGTGGGACTGTAGCACAGTAAAGCAAAAAGTGTGATCATTGAAAAGTGCCATAGTGAATTAAACAAATTTCATCAGTTTGAGTAATTCCTGAAACAAATCTTCTTTTTGGATTTCTTCAGAGGTAATGGAGTTCTGCACACCATTTACATCACCTTGCACTGAATCTGTGTAGTTTCATCCTGTGGAGAAAGAACAGTTCATTTACTGAAAGTAACTTATTTTTGCTTGAAAAATGTCTGTGGATATATCATATTTCTGTGCTGTAGCTTAATATTTGCACAAACTTATTTAGCCTCAAGCAATGTGAATGCAATAAAATGAGCTTTCTATTAATATTTTCATCAGTCATACTTGATCAGTTCCTGTTATTGGAATGGGAATCTGGATGGCTTAAATCATTTAATAATTTGATCAATGAGCTGAGGGAAAGATTCTAGATGTAAATAGTTTACAGATTTTCTTTTTAATACAAGGTAATATGCTTATGAGTAAGGAAGTCCTTTAGAGCAAAGAAAGCAGAAGGAGGAGTTAGACACATTGCAAGCCAGACAAACCAAAATACCTTATGTATTTGTTCATTTGCAAGTTAGTGCCTGCCTCTGTTGCTGTACAAACACATACACACAAATGCAGTTGTTTTTAAAAAGTGGGACAGAAATGCAGTCTAGAGTGGGGTTTTGCTCAGGAGAATCTTGAATATTCCTTAAGAGAGAAACCCACAAACT